GCGAGAACCAGCGAGACAATTGGGGAGGAAAACATAGCGAAACCACGTAACAAAACCGGCAAGAGCGAGACAATCGTAGCATCAACGTAGTGATCGAGAGGAAGCAATCACTAGATGCTAGAACAGAGCAACTCACCTGGAAATATACCGATGTTTGTCCAGGTCGAGGGTTGAAAGAGTATCGGCTGCGCCCGTGACGTTCGTCAAGAGTGTGAGCCTGGGTCTCTATAGTGACAGCAGGACACAAGATGTGGGGGGCACTTTTATATGTATTTCTTATGAGAAGAGGGATACAAATAAAAGTAAGGGAAAGAAGAGAAGAAAATGAAGATAATAATCTTTTTGTTCTTTGTTTATTTTATGATGATGATTAAGTTATGGCAGTCTTACTGTCCCTTTTGGATGGCTGCTGACAGTCTTACTTTCCTTAGTAGGATGGCTGTTATAAGCAGAGCTAACTCTGACGCCTGCAAATCAACAGAAACTGAAATGGGTATTGACACTGATGAATCAGGTCAACCACAATTTTTTAGATCAAAGATCAAGGCTCTTTAAAGGGAAACCTATGTAGTTTTCAGTTGTACTACCAAACAGGATGAGAGGAGATAATAGAAGCTAGGTCTTGCTTTCTTTGATCAGGGCTTTGGTTTGAGGAGGAGTGAAGAGAAACTGAGAGAGACAGAGAAAAGAAACAAGCAGAAAGATGCTAGCTTAACTTAAGAGAAGTGACTTACTAATGATACCAATGACACTGAGTAGTGGGAAAGGTAGGAAAAGTGAGGTCCTTCTGGTGGATAAGTGTTTGCTTGATCTGGGTCTGGTTGTTGGTGTTCTGTGTTGGTCTGGAGTCTGAAAATCCTCTGGAAGCGGAATCAACAAGCTCAGAGAGGATTTTCAAAGTTGGATGACATAATCATTACATGTACATGTGGTTGGGAGAGATGGAATTCCAATTTGGTTGGTATTTCACAAGGTACGGTGAAATGTTACAAAGTCAATGAAGGAGAAGAGTAGTGTAAAACTGGTCAGTGGTGACCATGGTTGAAATTGGATGAGGAATTCATTTCTGAAGTCAGAATGTAATAAATTCTTAAGCTGAATAAGTTACTGTAGGAACATGGATGAAAAAGGGGGACTTAGGCAGTCTTTTGGCCAGCTTGGCTGGCTCTAAGGCTGACAAAGAGTGTCGATTGAGATTCCCTTCTGTCCGATGCTAAGTCGGAACTTGGACCTGAGTCCTGAGTCTGACCGAGCGGGGCCGGCACCAAGGCTTCCCACTGCACCGGCCCGACCGGCGCCTGACGGGCAGCCCGTTTAGACCCGACCTTTAATCGGGTCATCTTGGGCCGGGCCTAAGTGAAAAATCCCAAGAAAATGTCGGCCCGAGCCCGGACCAAACCCGGTCGGGTTCGGGCGGCCCGCTGGACACCCAGCCCAATTACCATCCTTAGCCACAGAGCACCTTTCACAGTACGTGAAATGTACGTAGTAACTGCAAATAATAATAACTATTTGAATACAGGAAAATATTATACATTGTTGTTAAAATAAGAAATAAATAAATATGTATTTACTATATAAATTTATCTGAAGCTTACCCATCCTTGATCACATCATCAGGGCATCAGATTGCATCATAACCTTCTTGGATGGCATCATCAGGACCCTTTTGTGCTCTAATTCAAAGCTTGCATAATTCAAAGTAGCCTACATGGGGAAAGGAGCCCAAATTCTACATGCAAGACTGAATTATGCATGAAGGACTTGCATTAATCCACGTAACAGGATTGATCTGGATGCCCAATTGAATAATTGGATGAGTCAGCAGTAGAAGTACCATTCCGTGCTATGAGTGTTAACAAGTAGTGTAAGTGGAAAGTTTATTTGTGGTAAAAATACCTCAACCTGTAAAAGAAACAGGGAGGAGTCAGTGAGGAATGGTACTTCTGCTGCTGACTCATCCAATTATTCAATTGGGCATCCAGATCAATCCTGTTACGTGGATTAATAGGCTTCCAATGTGAGGAATTCTTTTACTCACTTGGGATCAAGTCTTTTAACAACAATCCAGATGAATAAGTGTATGTACACTTAAGGACCAGAATTGTTTAACCAGAGGGATAATTCTTTATGCAATAGAGATAAGTAGAAATGCCTTGAATCTGAGCAAAGTAAATCTATTTAAGTCTAAGGTAGCTAAGTTGTAAGTTTATTGGTGGGTTGAATCACTAATAATCACAGTACAAGTGTTGGTTTGATGCTACTAGAATTTCCTGGGGGGAAAAGGTAGGAATCATGGCTCCTTAAATATTCTACAGAGGGCTCAGGGGCAGAGGAGAGGCCCTCAGGGTACTAGGGAGCTTCTTAGCAGCTCTACAATTGCGTGTAAGGATGGGAGCTGTAGCTGTGCAGTGTTATGCATGGGTGGAAGGTCCTAGGACATGAGATCATACATGCATAATTGAGTTTTGTGGCCTATTTCTCACGTAATTGAAAAGGCTACAGTTACTGTGCATGGGCTGAGCAATTGTAGATTTAGTTGCATACGTGTAACTCTGCTTATGCAAGCTTGTGATCATGGGAAATGCAAGTCCTTCATGCATAACTCAGTCTTGCATGTAGAATTTGGGCTCCTTTCCCGTGTAGGCTACTTTGAATTATGCAAGCTTTGAATTGGAGCACAAAAGGGTCCTGATGACGCCATCCAAGAAGGTTATGATGCAATCTGATGCCCTGATGATGTGATCAAGGATGGGTAAGCTTCAGATAAATTTATATAGCTTATTCCTCATCCCTTTCACGCTTCTACTAGCTGATTCTTATACCTATGTTCTTAATTTATGTATTATAAAATATGTACATAATGTATAAGAATAAATATTGTCTTAATACCTTATTCTAAAGCTATTCCTGTGAAATACTAGTGATATTATATGTACAATGCTCAAGGGGATTTCACAGTTAATTATAGAATTATTAAATATAAATTATGAATTAAGATTAAATGTAAATACATATTTATTTATTTATTATTTTAACAAAAATGTATAATATTTTCCAGTATTCAATTAGTTATTATTATTTGCAGTTACTAGGTACATTTCACGTATTGTGAAAGGTGCTCTGCGGCTGACAGAAAACCTCTTGGCCGCTTATATCTGATCAAGTCACTTCCGGACTGATTATTGATCCTGACAATAGAATAGAGACAAGAGAGAGAAAAAAAACATGATGGTGAATCTCAGCGGTGGGCCGCTACGCTACACTACGCTACGGGCCCATGTAGCGTTAGCGTAGCGGCGCCAATTTTTTTTTTTTCGTGTAGTGTTAGCGCGCCGCTACGGCCGCTGCGCTACGCTAACTTGTAGCGGCGCTAACACTAGCCATTTTTTGGTGTAGTGTTAGCGCCCCGCTGGCGCCGCTACGCTGCGTTACGCTACGCTACAGCGTTTTTAGCGGCAAAAAACGCCAAAAAACTGCTAAAAACTGCTAAAAACTGCTGTAGCGCAGCGTAGCGGGCAATTTTTTGCGCCCTGTGCGCGTAGCGTTAGCGCAGATGGGGAGAATTGCGCTAACGCTACGCTAAACGTTAGCGCATTGTTTTGCCCCGTGCGCCGTAGCGTAGCGCTGAAAATGAAAAAAGTGCTAACGCTACGCAACATGGTAGCGATTTTCCCTAACCTACGCTACGCTAACGC